CCATTTCTCGGAAGGAAGGAAGGAAGGAAGGAAGGAAGGAAGGAAGGAAGGAAGGAAGGAAGGAAGGAAGGAAGGAAGGACCTTCCTTCTGGTTCTGACCATGTCCCATTGCTAATGCAAATTCTTCTGGGGGATTATGGCCTTTGAGAGGAAAATAATCCTGCTCCCTAACTTTAAAGAGTTGGCACCTAATGTGTAGAAAGCTGAATTCACACACCTTGCTTAATCCTCAACTCAGCTTAACAAGCATCGCATCACATGCAGTGTCCAAACAAATACATCTTAAGTGTTTGACCTAAGACAGTGGCTGAGTTTCCCACCAGAAGCTGAACCCCAAGCTAGCTGACTCCATTTTAGTCTACTCTAGGATCTTCTGTAAACATGGTAACCAAAGGCTATTTTTCAAATATTTTTTCCTCAAAAATAGGAGACTTGAAAGAAGTTTCTTTCTTTCTTCCTCTTTGCAGAGAGATGTCCAGAAAGACTCGGCCAGTTTGGATACCTACAAAACAGAAACCACTGGACTGCAGGTGAGACCAGTGTCTGTGTGCTGCTTGTAATATTCCAGTGCATAAGTCAGAAGAAGTATGGGGAAGATGTAGCTCCGTTTGCAATTCCTACATTCTGAATTTTACAGTTGCAGGAAGACTCCTATCTGTCAGTTGCAGCTTCTCCTGTTCTACTTTTATTTTGGTTTCTTTCCCAATTGTAGATTTTTTTAAAACAAAAATTTATTAAACAGATCTTTATCTAAGCACTCAAATTGATACACTAGGAATTTTGAAAGCACATTTCCTTAGAAAAGTCCGTTCAATTTCTTGCAAGTCCTATATGCCCTGGAGTACCAGAAGCTGCCTTATGCCATGTCAGATTATGTTCTTCTCAAGTTCAGTCATCTAACTGATTCTACCAGATGTAACTCTGTGAAACCTCCTGCCCTCCAGATGTTTTGTATTACAAGTCCCACATCCTCCTTTTCCATCCTACTGAGATATAAGTTTACAACACCCAGAATCCCCAGCAATTATGGCCATTGGACATAGATGCCTTCAAACAGGACTTAACTTCAACCAGACCAAGCTCTGGTCACAATCAGTTGACAGCTTTGGTGTTTTTACTTTGGTCATACAATCACATTTCAAAAAGCTTCATGTTAAGAATAGGTACAAGAGTCGCACGTCAATGGGCAGGCCATCAAAATCTATATAATAAACAAACCAACCCTGCAGGATCAGGATATTGGGCCTTCTACTCCAGCATTTGGGGACATGAAGTTGCCAATGAGATGTGTTTATGAAGCCCACAAGTCTGGCCTGAAGGGTGATGGTCCCCTTCCACTAGCAATTAGTGTTTAAGGCCTGTTTCAGGAGTTAATAGACAGCCATTAGGATTCGAAGCCATTGATGGCCTGATCTTCCATCCAAGCCATCCAAATTGGTAGCCATTGCCACAACTACTGGTAGCTAATTCCATAATCTATATATGTTGCATTCTGGTCTGTAAGTCTCCTTTTGAAATACAGTATTGTGCATACACAAAGAGTAAACACTTTGTTTGTCCCCACAGGCATGGCTATCAAGACGCAAGCGCCACGTCAGCCACTTTGCTCTCTGCAGATATTGCTGGGACTGTTGTGGAAACAAGGGTTATGGCTACTGCTGTTTGACATGAAGAGGACAAAGGTCTTGATGGATGGCAACTCTGCTGTGGAGCTGCCCATCTCCTTGTAGCATTGACCCTTCCAATCTCCTCACATTGGCCTCCAGGTCTCATGACACATTCTTCTTATTTATTAGTTTGACAATATTTGGGTGTTTTTACTTGCTTGATGTTCTTGTCAGTTCTTGCGAATTAAACATATTTTTATCTCACATGTGCTGTTATGGATTTGTGACCCCTACCTCTGTATGATCTTTTCCTGCCAAAGGCTAAAAAGAAGAGGGCATCTTATCACATATACAGAAGCTGGTTAGCTTGGCAGTTGAATCTTGCTTCAGCGTGGCTGGCACAACAGCTTACAGGTAGTCCTTGTTCAGCAACCATTTGAAGTTACGACAGTGCTGAACGAGGGGACTTACAACTGTTCCTCATAATCACAGCATCCTCATGGTCACATGATTGCAATTGGGGCACTTGGCAACTGGCTCACAATTATGACAGTCACAGTATCCCACAGTCATGCGATTGCCATTTACAACCTTCACTGCCAGCTTCTGACTAGCAAAGTCAACGGGGAAGCTTGCAGGAGATCACAAATGGCAATCGTGACTGTAAGATGCTGTGACTGCGCAGGGTTCGCCTAACAACGGCAAGTGGAACTGCTGCATCTGCTGTTGTAAGTCAGCATAGTCATGTGACATCGCGCTTTACGACCGTGTTGCTTAGCGATGGAGTTGCTGGTTGCAATTACCATTGTTAAGCAAGGACTACCTGCATTATTATTCTCCACCATAACTGAGAGCATCAAACCAGCTGGAGATGGGGGAATAATGGCCCAGGGCAGGTCATGCATCTCCCTGCATCTTGTCATCTCTGTCTACCCAGCTGTAGCTTGCTGCCCAAGGAAGCTGCTCTGCAGGATATGGTTGAACCTGAATCTGCCTGATTCAAAATCTGTTCCAAATATCTCCTAAAACTTGCTAGCAAACAGGACTCTGGGGATTTCCATAACACACTGTAGAAATCCCCAGTAAAGCCTGGGTTTACAAAAACACAATTGCAATGTTCACACAACACACTATGCCCAAATAAGCCTTATTCTGGCTTAATGTGAAAGCCTGTTTCATACTATCTGCTAAGACAACATCTGGGTTCCCATACATGGCAAACCATAAATTACCTGATTAGCCTGATCTTGAGTGTTGTGATGACTCAACAGAAGTGTATGAAAAACCATATGAAGCTGTTTTAGGTTGAATCAAGCCATAGATCTACTCAGCCAACATGGATATAGGCCCTCTTGCCATCCATCCCCTTTCAAGTCCTGCATCTATGCTTTAAACATCTGCATGGAAGGCAAATGTGGTGCAGATTTTCTATATAATGGCAGCTAGGTCTTCAAGACACAGGAACCCCGTAATGTTATGATGGCCACCTGACAGTCAGCATCTTGGAAGCTGGAATATCATGCAATCATCCACAAAAATCTCCAGAGGATTTTCTCCACCATCCCAAACTGGTGATAAAGCAACAGGGACACACTTTAAGTACAAAAATTGAGACTTATAATTTGAAAGCCTGAATAAAATCTATTAATTCAGTTGGCTCAGAACAGAAGGAACATTTTGAGTTTCAGAAGAAAAAAGTGGGTGGTGGTGGTGGTGGTAAAAGAGTTACAGTTCCATAAGTTTCAACAAGCAGACCTGGTAGCCACTGGAGGATCAGTAATATTTGCCCACAGGAAGATGACTAGAGGGAGCTAATGCCATCAATATTTCCATTCAGCTTTGGAAATTAGACCCTAACCAGGCAACATGCCTTTCCTTCAAGTACAGGTAGCCCTCACTTAACAACAGTAATTGGGACTGGTAATTAGGATGGTAGCAACAGTTATGGTAATGATGGTAACTGGGACCAGTTGCTGCAGTTAAGCAAATCCTGCATGGTCATTAAGCATGATGTCTCTCGATCACCATTTGTGACCTCCTGCCAGCTTCCCCATTGACTTTGTTTGTGGGAAGCCAGCAATGAAGGTCTCAAATGGTGACTGCAGGGTGCTGCAACTGTCATAAATGTGGGCCAGTTGCCAAGCGCCTGAATCGCCATCACATGACTGCAGGGACACTGCAACGGCTGGAACTTCAAGGAGTCCCATTTGTTCAGTGCCGTCGTAACTTCGAATGGTTACTGAACGAGTGGTCATTAAACAAGGACTACCTGTAGTACGAATGTTCCTTGTTGCAGGGAGAGTTTACAATAATAATCTTCCCCAGGGACTTTGGAGAGATATGGCTTGATAAAAGGTTCCCCACAAATTTCATCATATCAATATTCTAATTGCAGTTATGCCTTTCCAAGTCTCCTGACCAATCACTGTCTGAGGAGGAGATGCTGGCTGGGGGAAACTATGGGTGTGGATGGGGAATTCCCAGAAGTGGAGAATCCATGACCCCCCTAGATGTTGCTGGATTATACCTCCCTGCAACTCTCACCTATGGCCATGTTGGTTGGGCTGCTGGGAGTTGTAGTTCAGAGATATTTGTAAAAGGGCCAGAGGTTCCCCATGCATCTAGGAAGTGTCATATAAGCACGTGTTACACAGGAGATCTCAAGATCTTTTGCCCATGCTCATGTTGGGTCAGATGTTGGAGTAGAGTTGATCACTGCCACAGGGAAACTGCCAATCGCTTATCCCATAATATTCAGTGGCCTTTTCTGTTGATATATTCTCATAATCTTCTGCCTTCTCCATATTCTCATAGGTCTTGCTGGCGCTTAATTCCTTTAAAAATGCAGAAGAAACAAGAGGAAAGATTTTAGTTCAAACAACTTAATAAAAATAGTTACCTTTATGTATTAAGGGCCTTACACTATCTTGAAAGGTCTGCAGGGAGAGTGATAGCAAATGATGAAATATTGTCCTGACGAAAACCATCTGACTTGGACCCAAGTACGGAAGGCCCATGATGTTGTGACATGATGCAAACATTTCCTCATTTTTTCCATCATTCCTGTTTGTACCAGACTAGCCGACATTTATTCTTTGAGTAAATATTATTACAGTACAATTCAGCTGTAAAACCTAATAGTTCCAACCCCTCATTTATGAGAATACTAGGAATGGTCCAAGATGTAGGTGGCCAAAAAAAAAAAAAAAAGATTTGGGTGACATATTTCAGATTAACAAATCTCTTTAGACTGTTGGCATACTTTTGATCTAGTTTTAGGTTCTCGTAAATCCCATCTAGGAGGTCATGTGTACCCTCATGCCTATAATCCCAGATTATGTTTTGATGATGGTGCAATAGTCTACATCCGTGTTTTTCAAACGTGGCAATGTTAATATGTGTGGACTTTAACTCCCAGCATTTCCCAGCCAGCTTGCTGGCTGGGGAATTCTGGGAGTTGAAGTCCACACAATATTAACGTTGCCATGTTTGAAAAACACTGGTCTACATGAAGGAAAAGGATGGGAATCATGGATCAATTCACCAACAGTTGGCAACTTGAGTCCTGTAGACCAGTGTTGCCCAAACTTGGCCACTTTAAGATGAGTGGACCGACTCCCAGAATTCCCCAGCCAGCCATGCTGGC